TAATAAAATCCCCAAACTAAACGAGACTTACCTTGGTAAAGTTGAAGTTTGGTTGAGATTTTATTCAGTCATACTGCTACTGGAGGGAATCAAATCCCACCCATTCATATGGATTCCCTTCCCTTTTTTTTTTTTGATCTGTTGTGAATAGGTCAATATGTTAATGAGTATTTTAATTTTTTGTTAAGTGCATTAATTTTTTGCGCTTTAAAGACTGATTTATACGACATGGTCCGGCGCGCATCTCATTTGATTCCCTCCAGTAGCAGTATGACTGAATAAAATCTCAACCAAACTTCAACTTTACCAAGGTAAGTCTCGTTTAGTTTGGGGATTATTTTGGTACAAAGAGAAAAAGAATACCTTTCTTTATAATTAATCCTATTAAAGGTATTATTGAAATGCTAACAAAACATTTCATGATAAACAATACTCTTAAATAGACAATGAGCACTAATAAGAAAGTGTTTTTTACATTACTGTTATCACTACAATATCTTAGCTTTTCTCAAATTCTCTAAATATTGCTTTAACATACATAAAACATAACAGAAATGATCATTAGGGATTAGAGACTTCCTAAGAAATGCAAAGGTGAGGGTAAAGAGGATGAGTGTGCTAACAGAAACCATTTTAATACTGCAATAAGAGATCTCGAGAGGCTACTGTTAACAGATTGCTGAATCGCTTTCAAAGACAAAAAAAAAGGTGTGCTGACTTACTAAAAACCCCAATATTTCCAGTTAAAATCACAAATTGTTTTGAGAATAATTTGACATGTTAACATATTGGAATTCCATATTAGATTCACAAGAATAGATAGAGGTGGTAGTGTAGGTGTTAATCTGTGGATTCCTTGTACTAATAATGCTTATAATGGTATTTAATCAGTGTCAATGACAGAAACTTCAGGGGATATCACTTAATATGACTCTGTCACCTTTTGATACATCTTGTTACAAGTAATTTTGAAATAACCGACAATATTCTGAAAGTTAATGGGTACATCTACAAAGTAATAATTATATAAAACTCAAAATTTTTAAGGAAGAATAGGGAGTGCTTTGATCCTTTTTTTCTCCTATGGCAGCAGCTCTCTTTGGTCATTCAGGTCATATATGAGCTGCGACATGACAAAACCAACATAGTGCGTTTGCGACCAGCATGGATTCAGACCAGCTTGCAGTCTGATCAGGATCCATGCTGGTCGCAAACGCACTATGTTGGTTTTGTCATGCCCCGGCTCATATCATTTCATAAAACAGACTGCCTTAGCTAAAATACTGACAATTTCAATCCTAAATCAAACATCTTATTTTGTTCTTTTTCCTCTCTATAAAAGTCCTTCCTATTAAATACCTTAATAATCTCACTGACCAGAACTACTAGCTTGCACATACAAGGTAAATGCAACAGCAATTAGCCAAATAATTCAGCATCACAGTCCTGGATTGCTTGTAGTTTAGCGGAACTTTGAGCACATGCAATAGATGATACAGAGACCAAATACCTCTCAGCAGATTTGTTACCTAATATCAGAAGATTCCTGCTAAAATCAAATGATAAATATGTAATGTCAAAACTAATTTTGCAGGTGTTTTCTCCCTAGTCCCACAGCTTAAGTGATCAGAAATAAAATTATATTGTGCTTTTCAACTAACATAAAAACCAAAATAATGTGAGACGTTTCTCTAATAGAAATACATAGTGAATAGAAAATAACACCACAACCTATCCATCAATATTTGTTTTGTGCTACAAAGAATTTTAAATCTAAATTTAATTAACAACTTAGTAAATGATGTAGTACAAACAATAACAATGTTCTATAGCAACAAGGAAGTTAGTATATCTGGAAATTCACAGTGGACAACAAGGTGACATGTTTTAGTACTCCATTGTTTCAGTGTAAAGGTAACTTACTGTGCACTTGCTCTAATTGAACTGAAATACATGGCAACATAATTGGCAACAAATCATAAAAAAGAACCAAAACAAAACATTATTGAGTGTCTTTGTGGTAAAATTTCTATAAATTTGTGAAAAGATTTCTTGGAGTGAAGAAAAAAAAAATCAAACTTAACAAATAATAAACTCAGAGGTTTAGTTTAGGTGATAAAGGATATAAGGGAGAGATTTTGTATTGAGAGGAAAAGGGCCAGTTGCAGTTTGAAGGAAGAAAAGTGTGCAACAAAATGGCATTTTTTTTATCTATAAACAGAAGATAGTGGCTAATATCTCTATTTCAAAAAAGTAAGCACAAATCAAAATTGAAGGTTTCTTTTCATTTATAGAAATACAGATTCTATATTGCAAGTAAAGACAAAATAAAGATGGCAATCTTTTATTTATTGACATGGTAGTATTAAATTTTGTGCAACTTGTATGTAAAAATTAAGGGAAAAAGGTGCCATTTGCAATCCAAAATAATCTCTTTTTCCCCCCAAGTAAAAACAAAAATATTCCCAACAGTCACTTCTATGAACTTTTTAAAATTTCTCAAACTTAATTAATTTTTCCAAATAACACAGGGACTTCTAAAGGACCTTCAAATAGTAATTCTTTACTTCAAAAATAGAAGATATAACAAAATGACAAGACTTTTAGTTTCAATATAGATGTATAGAGTTTTTAGGCAATAAAATGACCATTTTTAAAAAAGATTTGCAGTAGAGTATAAATAAAACTAAAGGGCATATCTTATGTTGTCCCGGAAACATGACCTGTCATTGAGATTGATCAGTGATAGGCTCCTGAAGTCACACTCAGGACATAAACATCTTTTTCGTTCATTTTGAGTGCGGCCTTGAACTTTTGAGCTGCAACTTCTCTTGGTTTTGCATGAGACACATCAGCTCCTTGCAACAAACCTTTTTTTAAATTATTTTCAAACTCGTCAATAAATGACAAAGTCATGGACTGAACACAACCATCTATTCACAATTATTTTGTAACTTGGACATACATGTGTGACCTTGACCTATGAGCTAGAGACCAGATTCTTACTTAGACACCTTACCATCATGTCAAACATAGTTATGTCAAGTTTGTTTTTTTAAATCCATCAATGAATGAGATTTGTTGACCAGACAGGACCATCAATACACTTCTATAAAAATTTATTATCATAATTTGAACATACATGTGAGTCCTTTACCTTTTAGCTGCAGACCTGATCATTTCATTGTCATGTCCAACCTTATATGCCAAAGTATTTATAAATTCATTCAAAAGTGACCTTTACCTTTGACCTACAAATCTTTTTCTTGAATTCAATGTTCTACAAATTTATGCAAAATTGTTTCAAAATCTATCCATGATTTTATGATGACTAACAAAGTTATAATGCCTGAGATAAAAATAGGACTTACAGATGGATAGACAATTAAAAACTGTATGCTTATTCTTTGGAAGCATAAAAACCTAAACATTATCAAACAGACAGAGCAATTTGAATATTATGTTTCTTTTATGGTAAATTTTGATATTTAATTTTTAACAATGTTAAATGTCTTGCTAGCTAAATTAATTCAATATTTGTTTTATTATCTTTTGTTTTGACACAAATATTACTAAAAACATATTTGAAAAACAAGTTATGTCATTAAGAGCTTATTAATAACTCTAATGTGCTGCCGTCTTTATAACAAAAAGTAAAAGAGAAAAGGTGTTTTTCCAGCTACTGTCTACATAAAATCTAGGAAAGAAATGTTATTTGTCAAGTATCTTACGTTGGAAAACATGAAGGTTCACTTACATGGTAAAGAAAAAAAAACAACAACATTAAATATATTAATTTTTCATTGAAAAAACATATTACATATATCACTTTTTAAAAAAATTATGTGCAATGGTCGTATCAGTCGGTAGTTTATCAATATTTTTATTTTTACTTCTTATCATGTTACTTAAATAAATCACAATTCACATTTTCTTTCTTTTTTATGTAGATTTAGGCATAATAACAAAATAAGCCTTTTCAAAAAACTCTCCTTTAAAAAGCATAATTTACAGATACAAGAAACTTTTTTTATGTTCATTAGCCATTAAATTATCTTTTAAAGGGAATTTTATTGAAATATTTTTGATATATATTTTTTTTTTAAGTTGTCACACAAATTAATGGTATCTAAAGGTGAAAAACCAGCCAATAATGAACTATTCGAATAAGAAGCAGATTATGAAATATTGACTTCTTTTGAATATTTTTTTCATAAATATCTTTATGGGTCATGATGGCATGGACTTCAAATAATTTAAAAACACACTGTACAGAAAATAATTCACACCGGATTTACCATCAAGTTTTGAGCTACTGAGTGAAGTTATGATATTGCATGGAAGATAGAAATTCTGATTGATAAATTTTATATTAAAGTTTGACACACTGAACATTTAAGAAGCTTGGAAACATACAGTACAATACCTAGAACAATATATTAGACTACAAATATTGACATGCAATTAGTAGAGGTAGTAAGACAAATATTGTTTTTCTTCAAGTAATGTTTTACATGAAAATGCAGATAAAATTAATGTGCTTAATTCTAATTAAAATAATCATATCATATACATTTGATAGTTTATCAGTTACTAAAATATCATTTTTTTTAATATTTAAAGTGGACTTAAACTGAAGAGTAATTGGAGGTTTATTTTCTCCTCAAAATTGATTCTGATCTTGCCTGTAAAATTTAGAACTTTTAAAAAAAATATATTAAAACATCCACAGGCACTTAATGTAACTGATATTTAAACTTAATCAATTTATTCTTATAAGAAAGCATGATCCTCACTTTTATTCTTTCACTTAGAAATGAGATAAGTGTTAAAAACCAGGTGGCAACATAATAAATTAGATGAAAACCTTGACCACAAACTAGTCTGGTGCTATAGTACTAAGTCCTATTCAAAGTTTTCATTACCAAATTATCGCATCATGCTATTATACTTTATAAATTCCAAATCCCCATATTTCACAGCCATCATTTGATGCTTACCTTGCTCTAGCAAATGCCTGAGGTTCTGTAGCATGGTGTTTCTCTACATGTTCTGGTATGTTACCTTGAGGATTCATTTCTATAACAGTATCAGACTCTTTCCCATCCCTGAAATATACATAAAAAACTCATATACAGTGAATGATATATCTTCTCGTGCAAAATGAACAAATGATAAACAAATCTGAAATAAACAGAAAAGCGTCAATACATTTTGATACAGAATCAAGTTTTAAATGAACACAGGGCTCTCAATTGACACGGAGATCCGGGTTTTGACTCGTGAAAATCAGGAAATGCACAAATTTGACACGTGATAAAATCTGCACAAGAGTCAATTTGCCACGTGGGATTTTCAGCTATGCAATAATAATTACCTTAAATCTACTCCTTATTACTTATCAGATCCTACATATGTTCAAATCACACTCAAAAAAATGTCACCTGTGTAATACACAGCATTGTTTATAGCCTGTGCACTGAAGCGTGACATCAGTGGGTGCAAATTGACAGCGCTAAAAATAGCTCTACACAACTGATAAGAATTGCATACTTGAGGTGTCAATTATTGATTGCTTTTAAGGTTTATGATACGTCTTTGATTTACTTGGAGTGCCTGTACATTTGTTATTTCCATTAAATATTCCTAGTGCATTTTGGTATTTAAAATTAATATGATATATAGCACACCAGTAAAGATATTTTTTTATATTTTAAACTTTTAATCAGAAAAGCTGCTGCTTAATTTATTCTTTCACAGTAAGATGCAATTCATTTTTTTGTTTTTTGTTTTTTTTTTTTGTTTTTTTTTTTTTGGGGGGGGGGGGAATATACATTATAACTAGGCATTTTTTCAATGTTAAATATTATCAATTTCGACTTGAGAATCTACACAAAATGAGCTCCAATACAGTAATTTTTGTAACAGAAAAATGATTCATGTAGTCAAATGACACTAGAAAAAAATTATTTGACTCATGAAAATTTTGGCCAAAGAGTCTTTGACTCGTGAAATTCTGACCCTACTGAGAGCCCTGTGAACATATAACATTTTGGCTGTTATTCAACAAGTTTTGAATATTATCATAAACCAGACCAAAGAAAGCAAGAACAAATAATATATACAAATAAAGATATTGACATTCATTAGATGGCATTATCTCCAAGTAATTATCCATGGGAGCAATGTGCCAACAAGGGAAAACTTCAATATAATAGCAGTTAGTAATCAGTATCAGGTCAAACTTGTCTAGAACTGGGGCTTAAGTTTATTCGTAGAAATTCTTAATTAGGCAATCTATAATCAAAGTCATTTAGAAATCTTATCTAGTCCCAAAAAAATGATTAATAATTCATTATCTTGTGTTGACAAGAAGGCAAGTAAAGTAAACAATGCTCAGAACAAAATCCATCTGACAATAATATGATGCAAAGTTTAAAAAAAATTACAGAATTATATACATGCCAAAAGCAGCTGAAAAACAATGCCACTTATTAATAGAATTTTCTTATCTCCATTTAACACTGTCTCTAATAGACAAAAGATCCAAATTATAAAATTTTCACAGAGAATATTGTAATACATAATTATATTGTACTTGGTATAACAAAGAATGATAATATTGTTGTTTATTTCACTACATCATAGAAGGAAGATAGAGGGCAAGGCAGTATTTTATATACAAGAGACAATTATGTATAACTATTTAATATTATATATATCTGTTTAATAAAAATTACTCAAAGAGAGAAAGTGACAAAAAAATAGGTCAGTTGAAGAAAAAAAAGTAACACAGTAAATTGGCAAGACTACATCAAAGGTGTATACAAAAGTAACAAGTGCAGTTTGTGCAAGGCAATACCACGATGGATGTTACCTGTACTTTGGATCCATCACAACTGTGATATTGGTAGTGGTACGGGATGAACGCTCACTACCACTACCTGAGAAGTTCAGAGGCTCAGAATGACTGCTGAGAATGAAACATAATGACATGATTGACATTTTCCTACTATAAGGTGCATATTAATAAAACAAAGACTTTTTGGTAACTTGTATATTAGATTGATTTTCAAACAGTTGTTTTCTATCATATCAAAATACAGAAAATAAATAAATAACAAGAGCGATCAGTGATCACATGTGTCGCCTCATGATGGCCAATTTCATGTTGTGACAGACGGACAGACAGATGGACAGTGCAAAACTAGATTTGGTACTGATCATTCCTGTAAAGTTTGGATAAAATTGAACCAGTAGTTTATGAGGAGTAGTCCGGACAAGCTTTTGTGTATCTGGCAACTAACAGAAAAAACACCTTTTTATCAAAGGGCCATAACTTGGCTAAAAATCATTCAACCCGAAAACCCGTGCAATATGCGCCAGGACTTGAGCTACAGATTAATCCTGTAAAGTTTCATTGAAATTGCATTAGTGGTATAAGAGAAGTAGTCCGGACAAACTTTAAAAATAAAAATTATTAAAGGGCCATAACTCTGACAAAAATCATTGAACCGGAAAATGCTGACAATATGCACAACTAGACTTGGTACTGATCATTCCTGTAAAGTTTGGATGAAATTGCACCAGTAGTTTATGAGGAGTAGTCCGGACAAGTTTTGTGATGGACGGACAGACAGACGGAGGAGAAGTGATCCCTATATGTCGCCACTACTCCGTAGAGGCGACACAAAAAACAGTGTAAAGAACAATTAATACTAAGTAGAGTTATCACTAAAGGTGATTCATACCCCTACCAGCAACCTTAACTTTTTGAAAAATAAGTGGTCTCAAGCAAAATTTGAACCTTTCTTTTATTTGATGATGTTTCATCAGTGACCTTGACCTTGAACCTAGGTGGTCCAATAACAATCCCATGCTATGTCTCTTCACAAGGTTGCTAAATGTTAAGTTTGAATATAATATCTCATTCCTAACTCTAGTTATTGTCCAGAAATCATTTTCCTATTTTTAGTAACAGTGACATTGACCTAATAGTGAGGTCAAAAATCATCCCAACTGGGGTCTTCGCATAAGCTTGCTATATACTAAGATTGAGTACAATATTTCATTCCCAACTCTAGTAACTGTCCAGAAACCATTTTTTTTTAGTAACAATGACCTTGACCCAGGGAGGTCCAAAAGTAATCCCAAACTGGGTTGTTGTTTTTTTTACATAAGTTTGCTATATTACTTTGATTATAATAAATCATTCCAAACTCTTATGTTATCATGCAGAAATTATAAAGTGGATCTACAGACAATCTGACTCCTACCTACCCCACTAAACTTTGTTTATGGGGGTATAATTACATCTTGTTTATTGTGTCAGTATTGTTTATTACTGATACCTCTATGTCACTGTTACCATATACTATAATTGTAAGCATTAAATTCTAAAATTTCTAAGAATTCTAACATCTTCACAAGATGAACACTTACATTTTTCTTTAGAATTTATTATTATCTTTATTCTTCCGAATGATATAATTTAATTAGTTTATTTAATTCAGACACCTCACACAGACATCATCTGGCAGCCAACTCAGAAAAGAATAAATGAGGCTCAAAAAGCAAAACTATTTTTTTCTTATTATGCTAGACTCAACACATCTTTTTTTGTTTTTTTTTCTCTGAACATAATAACATCAGTTCAACGCTGATTCTACACATTGTCTATTAGTTATGAACAAAGCTGGTAATTTGTCAAAGGTTTTCCAGACACCAGCTCAGCAATGAGATAAACAGAACATTCTCAGATTGGAAGAAAAGAAATTCATTTTTAACAAAAGTAAATTAATAACAGAATATAAATCACTTTCCAACCTAGCCATTGGCATACATTTTTTATTTGTATAATGAAGTTAAGTGAACTGATGGGTTTTCTCCTGAAATGCATCCAGTTAAACTGACACAAATTCTATAACATCATTTACTAACATGCATTCTAATTAATAGGACAGAATGGTATTAAAATCTCTACAGTTTTTATGCATCTGTTTTACTTATTATTTTTATATGTATATTTTTTTGTTTTTGTTTAAATAACTGACAGCATTCAATCTGACATTAATGGTAACATGAAACAGATGACCTATTAGATGATACTTGTATTGTTAAAATGGACTTCAGGAGCAAGGTACCATTCACTGTTGCTATGTCACAATATACCTTAATGACAAATGAGCATAATTATATAGTAATTTATTGTAAAAGGAGTACATATTTGGGGCAGTCATTAAGTAATGACTGTATATGTTGCCTTATTTTCCATTGAATAAAAAACAAAACAATTATTAGATGATACTGTAACAATCACAAAATATTTATTAACGATAAACTATTAGCTAAAGACTGTAATATTACTACAATTTCATCAAAGTTTAATAGAATACTCTGTAAATTATCATACATCACCGTACAAATACATATATGATTTCATTAATTTGTAATTCTAATTAATGTCTTTTATGAACGTAAGAATAAAATTGCTACATGAACTGTTTTGACTCATTAAACGCATGCAAACCACACAATACAATTTTCATACAAGAACAGTTGGGGGCTGAGAACAGGCCTAATGAACAAGACATTCCTTAAGTAACTAAGGTCTCAAATACTTATACAAAATAAGATTAACTTCAAAACAAACAAAAAATCACAAACACAAACTAGCTCAAGTCTAGTTGCACAACTTGAAATTTTAGTTGATCGACAAATTTTAATACATGCACAATTGTGAAATACAATCTACAAATGATTGCATTAGGGTAAGACAATTGTAAACTGCTTACAAATAAAGAAACACAATAAGACAATGAAATGTACATTATAATATACTGACAAAACTTGGCATTTTTTCTTGTATCAAATTAATTTAATTATAATTGCAGCAACACAAAGCAGATTGTTATCTTCACTTTGTTAAAAAGACATTTAAATTAACCTTTTTCCTTTGACAAAAATCTTATCTGTGTTGAATATTCCATTGTGTCAACTGATTAATGTTGATTTTGATGCAAAAACTCATAAACCTGTAAGCTTTTAATTGTACCAACATAGCTGACAATATAATTAATTTGTCTTCCAATATACTTAAAGCAAATAATCCTTCAAGTTTTCTAAGTATCCTTTATCCTTTCCTGTGACCCAAGTGATTTTTTTTTGAGAGATGACATCACCTTCATATACTGCATAGGCCCAACAACTATAATATCCATGCAAATGCATAACAATATAGTTTGATGTATTTAAGTTAATCAGAACAAAAATCTTTCAAAAATAGAAATACTAACTAGAGCTGCCATAAGAGTGATAAATGCATCTAATCTCTATGACACAGGAAATTACAAAGTGCAATTAAACATTATTTTTAAAAGAAAAATCCTTCAAGGGGTATAGGATACACATGGTATCTGATATTTGACCTTTAAGGGTGTCCTAAACTTGAGCAGGCAAAACAGTGGCATGCGTTCTGCAAATTTCCTCTTTGAGGTGAACATTTGAGCCAAATTGCAAGAAAATCCATCAGGGTGTATAGGACGACTGATGTGACAGTGATTCCTGTAAAGCCCCCTCCACATTATGTGGTAGGGGTATAAAAAAACAAATTTGTGAGAGTTTTATGGGAAGGTAGTTTAATACTTGTTACAATAATTAAGTCCCTGCTCCTATGATCGGTGCAGTGGCATAGCATGACATAGTTCCCTTGAGGGGTTCAGTCAAATGCTTCCTTAAATGAGTTAGTTCAGACCTATCCCCCTCCCTTTCCCGCAAATTCTTGCCCTAAACAAGAGCTGTCGGTAGAACAGCATACTCAACTATTCTCAGTACTTGATAGTAAAAAAGAGCCTTGATGTTTAAAATGGGCCACAATTTGGTCAAATTCCATGTATGAATCATAGGCCATAGACAGAGACGTTTGATTATAATACTCTTAAATTAGTGTGTGAAGTTTCCATCCATTCCCTTTACAGGGATCATTCTGGTCAGGATTTTTAGTGAGAGATTTTCTCTCATTTGAGAAATTTTAATGAGAGAAATTAGATTTTCTTGAGAGATTTAATTTTCATGATGGGCGAGGTTAAAAATATAGAAATTTTTAACTTTTTAAAATCACTGTACATATAAACATTGTTTATCTAATGAGGATATAAGAAGATGTAGCTCTGTTTATTACAGTGATTTTTGTTTTCACTTTTTTAACACATCCTATGCCTTTTCTTTTGTGAATTTTTAAACACAATAAAATTCTAGTTGTGAAAAATAAATATAATAAACACTTTTATTCTGAAATATAAAAGAATTATACATGGATATCTACTACAACTATTATTTGCTGGACAACACTGTACTGTACAGAAGTGATTGTTGAGATTTGAAGAATATTTTTTATAACCTTACATTTTGTTTTCTTTATGATTCTCTTCACACACCTCCCTCCATTAAAAAAATATTCATTGAATATGTGACCTGAACACATAATGACAAATATCTCCATATCCACAAATATAAACAATGTAAACCTAAAGTAATTTTTATTCATAAACATCATTTTTAGTGTTATAAAACACCTTTAAATGACACTCAGCTTCCTTTTAGTATTTTTTTTTTAATCACGACATCGCGAAAATATGTGACAAATGAATATTTGTCTTTTTTCTGCTGAAACATTCACAATTCTAGCTGTTGCTGATTGCAATAATATAAAATTAAATATTTTTGTTCAATAAAAGAATATTCATTATCGGCTATTTCATCAGGAATCGTAAAACAATTTTTTTTAATTTGTTCTTTACGGCAAAATTTACCGTGGTTGATGTTACATTTAGAAGACAAATTTTACCGGTATTTGTTTCTTACATGTCCATTTTTATGTTAGTCTGTGTCTAACAATTTTTATTAAAATCAATTAAAAGTGTTTTATGTAAATTCTCGACTTACAGATAGATAAAGGTTAGCCATCATACCGTACGGTGAATTTGCGGTCTCCGATCGGCAATTATTAGGCTAAATAATTCAAAGTGTTGGACTACTTTTTGGAGGTTTTTTACACCGATTTCATTAATAAACAATTTGAAATTAAATTCTTGATGGGAATCGTGAATTTTTCATCTTATTTTTGTGTAACTTTAGCATTCTTTTGATTGTGATTAGACATTTTCCGGCTCAAATTGCCGTGCGAGATTTTCTCTCATTTCACAAATTTCTCTGAGATTTTGGTGATTTTTTTGCGAGATATCGCGGAAATCGCGCCCTAGAATGATCCCTGCTTTATCAATTTTGAAGATTTCAAATTGCACGCAAAAACTTAACCAAGTGTGAGGTATCTTCGGATAGTTGAGCTTAATGTGAATACTAATGATTGCAAACTAAAAGAATATCAATGAAACATTTTACACAATACAAAAGTTGCAATTTCCTTCTATCAGTACCTTAAAAGAGAATGATGTTGACTAGTCATTGTCTGCTTCATTAAAACTTGAAAAGGCCTTTTTGTAAGAAATAAGCTTAGTTTACTCCAGCAAATACGACAAGTTACAGACATGCTTCTATACCATCTCAGTATATCTAAAAGACTGTTGGACATGCTTGAAGAATCATATCCATGTGGCAACTCTTGTCCGTATGTCAATTCTCTATTATATATATATTAAAAATTCAAAACACTATAAATTTTGTCAATTAAACACATGAAATTATTACAAAATGCGGTTACGAGAAAAAATCGATAAAACTTTTTAAGTAAGCAACTTTATTTCACTATAATTTTTCTTTTCTTGCTTCAGTAAATTAAGAGTTGCCACTTCCTAATTGAGACACATCTACTATATATCATTTGGGTAAAGGGCTACAGGGACTCACCTGTGTAAAAGGACTTCTCTACCACCCTGAGAGCTGCTTGAACTATGACTGAAGTAATAGTTTTAATATAAATCTTTCTTAAAGCAACAATCACAGATAAAAAATGAACAAAGTCCCTAAACATTTATAAATAAGCTAAATGTTTTAAGATCTTTACACCAGCAATAATACTAGCATGTCATAGTTATAGGCAATAAACTTTAGATATGACAGTACATAACCAAAAGTTGTAACAAGGGATCAACATAATGATATGCATTGATGAATTTTAAAAGAAGAAAAAGAAGTTAAGACAGTATTACATCTAATCCAGATTTACACTATACATGACAATATAACAGAATATTCATATATTCATGAAAATTGAAATGTTGTGAATGACTGTAAGCAATAAATTTCACTGGAAATGTGCTGTATATCCTGTGGCAGGGTTAACAGCTCATTAACTTCTCTAACTGCTGCAGAACACTCACAATCTAAATCTGGTTCTGCAGCAGAGCTAACAGTATACAAACAAAAGTAATGACACGTGTTCAAGGAAGTCAAAATAGATTTATTTAATTCATTTCACACTTCAAGGGTAATCCTATCATCGATTTGATCTTTTCAGTTACAGAATTGTGAGCCAACAATGACAAGATAAAAATGTACCTCAGATCAATCTAACATTTGATTAAATTCATTTACACTGACACATTTGAATGAATTCTAAATGAGATGCTCTCTGGTTCATAACTATAATATTAAATTACATGGAAAACAACAAGAGCTGTCCGTAAGACAGCGCGCTCGACTTTTTTATTGCTTGCCAATAAAAAAAGTTTTTGCAGTAAAAGGAAATACAAGAATCTCTGTATTTTTAAAGTGAACAATGGCCATGAGCATTAAGATATTTAGTGAAGAATTATTTTACTGAATTGTGTGATACCCTTGAACACTGCAGCAAAGTTTGAAATGTTTAAGTCAAAAGAGGGCTGGTACTAAAAACTAAAAAATTAATATCTCAAACAGTTCAGTCAAAAAGTGGACTGGTACTAAAAACTTAACCAAGATTCTAAGTCGATAAAAGGCCTTAATTTTTAAAACAAATCCTTGACAGAGTTACCTTCTCTTGCGTACAGATGGGGGTAATGATGTGAAATAGCATTAAAAGTTTCAAAGCAATATCTCAAAGGGTTAAGGCCAATAAGTGGATTTTACCCATATTCAATGTATTTTCTAAGTCAAAAAGGGGCATAATTCTGTCAAAAACCTTGACAGAGTTATGTCCTCTTGTCTGTTGATGAAGGTCGTGATGGTAAACAAGTATGGTCAGTTTCAAAGCAATACCTCCAATGGTTTTGAAATAAAGTGAGGTGGTACAAAAAACTTAACCAAGCTCAATACACTTTCTAAGTCAAAAAAGGGCCATAATTCTGTCAAAAACCTTGACAGAGTTATGTACTCTTGTCTGTAGATGGAGGTTATGATGGTGAACAAGTATGGTAAGTTTCAAAGCCATACTTGTAATACTTCTGAAATAAAGTGGGGTGGTACGAAAAACTTAACCAAGGTGTGACGCCGACGCCGACGCCGGGGCGAGTAGGATAGCTCCCCTTTTCATAGAAAAGTCGAGCTAAAAAACTGATAAACACAGTAATTTTCTTTGTAACTCCATAGTTACACAATCAACTATGAAATGTTCAGTATTGAATAATTGAATAATACTTTTCACTTTTAACATAACAATTACATTTGTTCTAATTAGATTGCAGAAACATTTACTGCAATCAATACTGAATGGCCTAGGATGAGGTTTCTTTGAGACAAACAGTTGCAATTATTTCTCAGTAGATGTTAGTGATGATATGAAATAAAAGGAAACATGCATACACAAGCAGTAGTATAACTGTTCCAATCTCTACCTTGATGCAGCTTTCATTATCAGATCTCAAATCTCAAAGCATACAAAACATCTTCTTGATTAATTATTGCATCTGTTTTAAATGTGAAGTAGCCATTGATGTTCATTACCTTGCTAATCAACCCTTACACCAGTAGGCACTGTCCTTGCAATTAGGTAGCTCTTTGTTTTAACTCACATATTGGTTATGAACAGAAAATAATGACAAAAATACAATTCTGTGTTGTATAAATGCTAAATGAGTTATTATACAAGTAACATTAGGAAAACAAGATATCATATGATTTTTAACATTGTTAGTGTCAATCAAGTCATCTATTGACCTTCACCTTAAAATGTGCACAAACCTTCATCTTGTTTAAATGTAAACCTTTCCCACTTTCTAAGCTTGTCAAAAGAAGTTGAAGTTTACATTTACATCAAATCCCATGGCAAAAATCACTACATTAAATCAATAAAATGTTATGAGTGACCAAAGCTTGGTAATGGTCTGAGGAAGGTCACTTAGTTACATAGAAAACAATTAAAGTGTCTAATTATTGGGATTTAAAGCTGCTTTTACACAGATTGCATCTATGGTAAATTGTAATTATTACATTAAATATCAAGCTTTGAATACAAATCTGTTTTTGACAATATTTATAATTCAATCATATTTTCAGTAACATTACTTTAGAAATGTGTGATAATTTACTGGTTTGCGTTTACCCATCACCCTAAAAGCTACTTTTAAATAAAATTTGTCATTGTGACTATGGTTTTATTCATTCTGTGCAAAATCATAACATTTCCAACATCATCAATTGTGAATGGTATTTTATAGGAAAGATTTTCTGAAAAAATTAGCAGAAAAAGGAAAAGGTGTTTTAAATGCAAAGTTGCTCACACTCCAAAGTCACAAAATGTGGTTATCAAGTTTAAAAGAATGGTGACTTAAACTTGTTGAACACTGTTATAGTATGATTGTTGTACATAACCAAATATATATGGGAAAAAAATGATTGTGTACAATACTTTGTTTCACAAATTAACTATAAAATTTAGGCAGCTTTGCTTATTTAACAAACACATACCCTTAGATTTTAAGGTGAAGGTCAAAGAAGCTTTTTCCTCCATGACAAAATAATCAACAAAACTTTCAATGGAAATTTAGATATTTGGATGCAACAGGTTTTGTAGAGAATAGTACATAATTAATCTATTAGTTATATAACTGTTCCACAAAATACTAGCTGTTAGTGTTATCTATGATAATTAATATTTAGAACTAAAACCTTGTAACTAAGACTTAAATTACTATATTTTGCTACAAGTATTTTAAATTTCTTTCTTTTTGCATTTTTCAATATTTCAGATTCTTTTATTTGTATTACATTAGTTACACCAGAACTTATACCCTTTGGAAAGCTAGTTAATTTGCTTCTACACAACTAAATGCATTTTGAACCAGACTCAATGCAACTCTCTAGGTTATTAGTCAAAATATCTTTTTTACTCAAACTGAAATTTTCAGTATACTGAACACTCTTGGCCGAGATGACAGAAACTCTTAATCACCACAAATTAAAGTTTCCTTAACTTTTAAAGAAGTTGATCTAAGGAATGTAAATATTTTAAGCATCTTTGCCATAACTGTGAAATAACAAGTTAATAAAACATGATATCTAAATATTTACTGACATTTTGTTTTGATCCTGTATCTGGATTGCTATCAAAATATTGGCAAACATGGTTATACAGTTTTCATATGAAAGCAAAAGTAATCTACTTCGGGACATTTCTACATCTATGTTACAAGCTTTTATTTATAATTCTATTGTCATCAATTTCCTGTAATCATTGAAGAATATCTTCTTGCAAGAAAAGGTTTTCTGTATTGGCAATAATGAAGCATGGACAATTGTTTTCAAAAGGATTAACACAATAATTATTGCTTCTAACAAAATCAAGCCAAATAATCCTAAATATTTTTCAAACAGCTTTTAATCCAAAATATTATTCAAATATGACATAACAGCCCAGACATCAAGAAATTATTAGAAACCATAGTCTGTAAATGAGAGATTAATGAAAAAGGAAAGAGTATATCACAGAAACCAGCTGAAGAGATGAAATTCCCTAGGGACTGATATATCAATGCTCCAATACAGATATTGTCATCCAGAAGATATATATCCTTCCAACCTCCTTATATCTCTACATTAACTCTGACATTCTTTACAGCCACTCTACCTAGTGTTCACATAACTCTAAAACATTTAATAAAGATTTGTGCATAACAAGCTACTGTAACAATTTCAACAGTTATTGCTAATTTCAAAATGGATTTACAATGAAACAAAGTACTGTAGCACATTTTCTTTCACTGATGCCCATTTCTTACCTGTCAAACATCTTTTTATGTTTTGTTTCATTCAAATCAATTAAACTGAAATAAAACAGCAACAAAAAAACAATAATGAAAAAATCGGGAACGAAAAAAAATGTTCGGTTTTTTAGAAGTTTCGGATTTCCAGAAGTTCCGGAATTCGGAAGTTACACTGTAGTTAGTATACTTAACCACTTGGAGATTTGAAGTAAAACAGTTAGCAATTTTTTTTTTAATCATAACCACAGGAACCTGAAAATTCTATCAAAACAAAAAAATAACGATTTAAAAAAAAAAAAACCCATACATAATACTATAAAATAAACACAAGGAAGGCAACAACATTTCCCCACCCATCGCCACATTTACCAGGGATATTCGTTAAAAACGCCTGGAATTTTACTTCCGATCAACACTAAATCAATAGAGGCACATTTAAAATCTACCAGAAACACAACTTTACTCTTATGCAACTATTCCAACTTTTTACGCCAATTGAATAAAAATGATTATATCACTGCTCTTCTTTAATCGTCGGTTCCAAATTGGCCAGTTCAAGCGAATAAACTCCGTCATACCGTTATTGACCGGTCTTTGTAGAATCCCGAAATTCTACCCAAAAACAATAAAAAGAGAACGATTTAAATAAAAATCCCCATATTAAATACTACTTTTATATATATGGGATTTTTACTTAAATCGTTTTTTTTTTTTTTTTTGGATAGAATTTCGGGATCTTCAAAACCGGTCAATAACGGTATGACGGAGTTTATCGCTTGAACTGGGCAATGGAACCGACGATTAGAGAAGAGCAGTGATTTATTCATTCAATTGGCGTAAAAGTTGGATAGTTTCGATAAGAGTAAGTTGTGTTTCTGGTAGATTTTAAATGTGCTCTATTGATTTAGTGTGATCGGAAGTAAATTCCAGGCGTTTTTACGAATATCCCTGGTAAATGTGGCGGTGGGTGGGGAAATGTTGTTGCCTTCCTTGTGTTTTTTTATAGTATATGTATGGGATTTTTTTTAAATCGTTATTTTTTTTGTTTTGGATAGAATTTCAGGTTCCTGTGATATAACATATTATACAGATGAAATTTTTGGAATGATAATATATGAAAATTGTGAGAGAATTAGAGAATTTTAGGTCAGGAAAAATATTATCAGCTATTTCTATAGATGTGACCTTTCACAATGTGACAGCAGAAATGAATGATATGGTATATATCTGATCAATGAGTTACCGTAGGTAAATTTAAGTTCAACTTCTCTCCCTGAGCAAATCAAAGATTTTATATTTTGTCTGACTTTTGTAAACCAAAACATCCCAAAAATTGCTTTGATGGACTGAAAATTCCCTTTCTATAAAATACACTGTCACTGCAGGGAAAATGACTGCAAGGGAAAATGACTGTCTAGTAACAGTTACAGAAACTTTCCAGTGTGAGAAAATAGTAGAGAAATTGTCTAGGATAAAATAAACTCAATCAACATACAATAAATGAGAAGGAAATTGTCAGGGAGAGACTGTCTTGGATTCTGTGCTTAATTTTAAGTAAAATTATCAGAGTGAAACCAAAATGAGATATGCTGAGTAATAATTAATCTTCTTTTGTTTGAATCTGTCTAGAACAAAAAATAAAAAAAATGCCACAACAATAGGACAGAAATAAAAAGACAGTTTGACCTTCATCAAAATCAAATCAAATAATTTTAAATAAAAATCAAACTTCCCTGCTTAAAGGAAGAACTACTACACTGATCATGTGCTAACCTTTAAAAAAATCCTCTCTGAATGTATATAAGATGTTTTTTGAGCATCTGATTGACTAAACAGCCAAGCTTAAAAAACTTCAATGTTTACATTTATGAAATTTTACTCCATACAGTACAGGGGTAATTTTTTATTTTTCCTCCTAAAATTAAAATTCACAAAAAAATATGTAGCAAAATCAATGCTTCTGAGAATGCGTAACACAAAGATAAGATGGTCTTGGTCAAACCTTAAGTTATCCTAATATTAGTTGTCTCCGGGATAAAGAAATATAGTCATTGTTTAAAAAACAGCAGGCATACCTTAGTTTTGTATTGGAATGTTTTTCAGCTTTTTCCTGCTCTAATACACGTAATTCCTTCGGTAGTATATGACCAGTGAAGGAGCCAGCCCTTCCTCGTTGGTTCAATATACGCATATGCTGAAATAGGAAATACATGCAAATTAGCAAAAATTCTCTATACCTAAAAATTGAATTTTAATTCAATCATTCATATGACACATTAAACAAATTAAAGAAACTTTCATCACGGAATGACGGAGACTCTGCATACTTATCAGTGATGCTGTTTATATTAAGAAAAATAGTTTTTCCCCTGTCCTCTTATCAATTTCATATAATTGATTTTATGCTAGATTTAGGTTGCTGAAAACTCTTGATTTCACAGAGAAGAAACCTTAGTTTGCCAGAAGTATGGCTTGTACTTAAGCTTGAAAAATGTAAACCATATTTTATATTATACAGCTGCATCTCACAAGCTAGCTATCTCACATTTTTACCAGCATAGTAAAGCATTTGTCAAAAATATATCCTTTACAGCAGTAATCTTTTACCCTTAACCTTGAGTAACACAGAAACTACAACAGCTAAATAATGAATTTTTAATGTAATTGGAAGTTTTTTTTAAAACCTTTTTGGGAAAACTCTACATTTTCTGCAATTGGGACCAGGTCTGTTTACAAAATTATTCTAAATTCAGGGATTCAATGTTTTTTAACTATCAAGTTGACATTCAGTCAGCGTGTCACTCTGGCATACATGGCCTTCTCAAAAACAGTTTCAAAAAACGATTTTTCCCTGCTTCAGAATTAACATTATTTTCAATGTGTAAATAATAGTTTCAGGGTTCTCAATCATTTAATCCATGTGTTGTGTTTTTAAAAATTGATAATGGCACAAAATAGAATTTTAAATTAATTCCTACAGTGTATTGATTATAAAACTTACCACCTTGCATAAGAACTAAAAATCTATAATTTTATATATAAGGTTTTTATCGGCTGTACATGCATATTGAATGGTACTTTTTGCATTTTGGATATATAATTAATAAATAAAGCGCTATTTCAATATTGCTAACATATTGTAAATGTCTACAAAAACTCATATAAAACTTTTATTCAATTTTCTTAGTTGACCTCTTTCATACATTTTTCCCATTCCATAAAGGCAGCTACTTCCCAAGAATATAAGAAATTCTCAAAACTGAAAAAAGGGGAAAACATCGCTAAAGGTCCTTTTAGAATTGCTGCTATCAACCACAGTCAGTGAGTGGATTGTATTTGGTCAACTATTTAAATAAATCATTATATGAGTAGTCAAACACAAAATGTCTATCAACTCACTTTTAGACTTAAATGTCTTAAATGTGCATGAAGAAAGATACTTTATGTTGATATTACAAAAGTTTTCATTATTGTTTGATACATAAGTAATATTTTCATGAACTGAATTTGCAGTAAGAAGAAATACTGCATTTACTGTTATGGACACATTAATGATTTTACATACTTTAAATTATCGACAAATTGATATAAAAGAGGCCATTTAAATATTGTTTTTCTATTGTCAATGATTGATCTGAGAATAATATAAAGACTGCAGAATGATATCTGATAAAAGGGCTATAGAATACAGGGCATTTACCCCAAAAATAGTCTGTAATGAATAGACATTATTGCTTAATAAAATGACCCAGATATCGACATATCTTTGAGCCGTGCGTAATCAGTAACTTGTTTTAATTACCTAATTTTGTAATTGATATTGTACATCATGCAAGAAATGAAGGAAGCCAAAAATAAGAACTTCTTATCTTTTCACATGAATAGAGACCTATATTTTTAGTCTTAAACAATTGTTAAGCACAATTGTGATTAAATCTTTTATTTTTATTGACTGTTAAGAATATTAAAATAATAGCTGATAAGAAAATCTTTTCTGAACTTAGTACTGTTTGTTAAAATTATGTTAAAATTATGTAAGATTAAAATTCACACTTATTTCCTTTACCCTTCCATTTCTTTTCATTTTACTGTTGAAGAAAAACTTCTGACATCTTATTAAGATACCAGAACTGATCACATTACGACTAGCATTGACAAACCCCTTGGTCATAATTAAATTTGTTAAGGTTAAATCATTGTTATCATAAATAATTATAAATGTATAAGAAAGTTTGGTTAAGATTTATATTTAAAAATATACAACTACAATGTATGTGCTAACAAATAGAGAAACCTTTTTGGTAGCAGTATATGGCTTGATTAGTCTATTTTCATTTAAGTTAAGATCTTAATAATTTGATATGCTGATGGCAAACATTTGTATAAAGTAAAACTACACTCCAATCTAGTAGAAGATTCTGAAGGCAAAATCTGGTTTTTCTCTGGTGACCTTGACCTTGCATATATTGACCTATTTACATTTTATCATATCTTTGCTGTGTGTGACCTTGACCACAAGAATCTGAATCTTCTGCCAACATACCATCTCACAATGGTGAAATTATGCCCAGTTATATTAAAATCTCTCAATGCATATAGAAGTTTTGCTGTGGACAAGCAAATTCCATTGACCTTTTAGTGTGGCATTTGAACCAGAGACCTTGTTAATAATTTGGCAACAAGTCTCATGGAAGTCAACATTTGTAGTAAGTAATACTTAAATCTCTCCATTCATGTAGAAGATATGTTTCAGATGTTACAGTAACAGTCGACGGTTCAAAAATAAGCCAATCATCTAGTGTGCGCAATCTTGGTGCATTTCTTGACTCGAACATGAGGATGGAACAACATGTAAATAATGTCTGTAGGAACTGTTATGCACAATTAAGACAAATCGGTCACATCAGACCCTATCTTACTGTTAAAGCAACCAAATCTCTAGTAAATTCACTTGTTACTTCTAGGTTAGACTACTGTAATGCACTGTTATATGGAGTCTCTAAGCAGTCAATGACCAAGTTACAACATGTTCAAAATACAGCAGCTAGAATTGTGACCAAAACACTCAAATATGACCACATAACACCTATCTTACGTGAACTTCACTGGCTTCCGGTAGAGTATCGGGTCGAATATAAAATTTTGACTTATACATATAAATCCCTCATCGATCAATCACCAGCCTATATAAAAGACATGATAGACGTGTACATCCCAGTCAGAAATCTGAGGTCCCAGAATAACTCAATGACATTAGTTGTGCCTAAATCTCGGACAGTACGATATGGTGACAGGTGCTTCCAGACAGCCGCAGCGAAATTATGGAACGCGTTACCACCTGACATTAGAGACTGTAATACCTTGCCATGTTTTAAGAGAGCTCTCAAAACACATTATTTCATAAAGTTCTATGGACGTTAGTTCATAAATCAAGTACTACTTTTGCTATATTATCAGTGTTAATTTTAATTGTGCCTTGATTTTAAACTAAATGTGTCTGTATTTCTTACCATCCTTTACTGGTTTTAGATTATCATTATTGTTTAATAGGTTTACTTAATTTATGTTGTACATTATGTCTTATTTATATATGATTATGTTTTATCGGATTTATGTAAAGCACTCTTGAACATTTATTATTTATGAAAAGAGTGCTATAGAAATGTGGTATATAATAATAATAATAAAAAAGATATGCTCTGGAACAGTTAGATGCCGCCATGATAGTCTGCCTAACAGGGACAAAGCCTTCATATGTGTCCGTTTGTTTGTAAACTCCTGATGTCCATTTGTTTTTAATCAGGAGTTTAAAAACTAGCATAGGAGGGTTGTTCAAAATGTAATAGGACAGCAGCTCTACTGTTCACATTTTTAAATTTACGTACACAATTTTACATGAGACAAATATCGGAACATGTTCTTTATATACAGTGAAAAAATCAAAACAAAATGTAAACAAATGAAATTTCTGTGAAATTTTTAAATGACAAGGGGTACGAAACGCGGCGCACGCTAACAATACAATAATTGACGTTCATGACGTCGTAAAATAAATGGAAATTGTAATATTAGCGTCATTCTTTCTGAAAGTAGTCTCCCTAGTCTCTAGGTGAATGAGTCATGTAACTTTTACTTTGCCTCATATGTGGAGATGAAGCAAGAAAAAAAGCGATCACATTCTTGTTCCACTGTTTGAAAAAAACAAAATAAAATAAATGCCCGATAGCCGGCCATTCTCCGGGTTTTCTCGTGTTTTCTCGTAACCTTGGAACTCAATAGGACAGAAAATGTTAAAGCAAAAGCAATTTATTTTATTAATTTACTCATGTCATTGTATGTTTTTAAAACAATATGATTATGTACATAACAATAAAGATATTTCTCAATTGAAAAGTATCATTTTCTACTTAGCACAGTCTATCGTTTAATAAAACAAGTTTTCGGGAAACACTACTAGAGAGTCTAATTATTACCGTTAACTATTACATTTATTTATTGATTACACGTATATCTAGTTAAATACAATAAAATAGTGTTTATAACAAATGTCTTATTTACAATCCTTTGGTTAAAACTGAATAAGTAGACCCGAAGCAGATACAAACAATGATAAACAGTTCGCGTACCGTTTACCGTGGATTCTTTTGTAGCGCTTTTGCAATTGACGTCACTAACGTCCCGTCAATTTTCAACTTTCATCCTCGCCCTTTCTCGTTAGTGATCTTGTATTTGCAGTTTTTGAATTGCTTGTGCCAGCTGAAAACAAGTGTCCTGATGGCAGGATAATTGTCTTTTGTTTATTTAATCATTTTGTTTGTATCAGAATGATTATAGTCAATCTGTTGGCAAAATCTAACGATGGCACACATTTTCTGTTTGTTAACAAATGTCATATTTCTACATCTAACGCTATGACCGCTGCTGTTCAAAACTTAATTAATAGGCCATTTCATGTCCGAATGACGTCAAATTTGGACATAATGTCACATTAATATATTTCAACGTATTGATGGAACACAGGGGAAAACAAATAGTTATTCATGAATAAATTAGAAGTAGAACTTAGCTCCAATAACTATATTTATGTGCTGCGCCGGGTGCGTGTTACCATGGTTTTTCAATAGCAAAGGAAAAGCGCGTTTAGCACAATAGATTAAAACAATTATGTTTGATTTGTAGAAAACATTTTACGATTGCTGTACATATGAAAATATTCTAAATTGAATGAAAGTTGAATACGCAAGACTCCCAGTCCTATTACTTTTTGAACAACCCTCGTACAGGTCAAAATTATGCCAAAAATGGTGAAAATTCAGGATTTGTTTGACATGATCTTAACTCTTATGTAGAACATGGGAGATAATGTACAATCCAGTCTCTAATATGCCTTAAACAAAATGCATATGTGCATATTAATACATATCATAATGCATTATGCCCAGAAATTCCCTTTGGCATTACATACAAATAACAACATAAAACATTGATACTATGGAAGCAGTTTATTTATCAAATTTTCCAGAGGTTCCTTTTCATCCTTGTTTTTTGAAAGGGCAATAAGATGTTAAGATCAAAGGCCATTAGTTAAGTTATTATCAAATTGAAAGCTTTTACACAGCTTCCCATCATAATATTTCTTCAATTATATAATACTAAAGAGATCTTCAGCTGGAAAATAAATCTTTCTCTTTATGTCTCTTACAATAATAATTCTAACAAGAGCTGTCCGTAAGACAGCGCGCTCGACTTTTTTATTGCTTGCCAATAAAAAAAGTTTTTGCAGTAAAAGGCAATACAAGAATCTCTGTATTTTTAAAGTGAACAATGGCCATGAGCATTAAGATATTTAGTGAAGTGCTTGCCTATAATACAAAACATTGACAGTTAAGGGCCATAATTCAAATAAAATCTTTGACAGAATTACCTTCTCCTGGACATGTTTGGGAATCATGATTGTAAACAAGTATTCCAACTTTCAAATTAATATCTCAAACAGTTCAGTCAAAAAGTGGACTGGTACTAAAAACTTAACCAAGATTCTAAGTCGATAAAAGGCCTTAATTTTTAAAACAAATCCTTGACAGAGTTACCTTCTCTTGCGTACAGATGGGGGTAATGATGTGAAATAGCATTAAAAGTTTCAAAGCAATATCTCAAAGGGTTAAGGCAATAAGTGGATTTTACCCATATTCAATGTATTTTCTAAGTCAAAAAGGGGCATAATTCTGTCAAAAACCTTGACAGAGTTATGTCCTCTTGTCTGTTGATGAAGGTCGTGATGGTAAACAAGTATGGTCAGTTTCAAAGCAATACCTCCAATGGTTTTGAAATAAAGTGAGGTGGTACAAAAAACTTAACCAAGCTCAATACACTTTCTAAGTCAAAAAAGGGCCATAATTCTGTCAAAAACCTTGACAGAGTTATGTACTCTTGTCTGTAGATGGAGGTTATGATGGTGAACAAGTATGGTAAGTTTCAAAGCCATACTTGTAATACTTCTGAAATAAAGTGGGGTGGTACGAAAAACTTAACCAAGGTGTGACGCCAACGCCGACGCCGGGGCGAGTAGGATAGCTCCCCTTTTCATAGAAAAGTCGAGCTAAAAATAAATCATGAAAAAAGGAAAATGGATCATACATTTTATAATATTTACATGTATAAACAAAAGTGTATGTTCTGTTCAGCATTAACTGCTCTGAAAAATTTTGTTTGAAAAATTGGAGTTTGAAAAAACAATCTACCATACTTAGTAGGCAACAATTTTAATCAAGATTATATTTCCTCATCTTTGAAAGGCTATTGTTGTAATTAACCCTTATGTCATTTTTTAAAAGTTATACATCTTGAACTAACCTAGGGCTGTCTGGATGAGCGCCCTTTGAATTTGAGAAAAACTATCACTCAAATTCCTCACTTGGGAAAGTGAATAGCTAGTATTTGTTTGAATTTTTTTGAGAAAATTGCATGATTTTAAAGAAAATTTCTATTGGGAAGAGACCTTTATAGGTCTCTGCTATACAAGGTGAAAACCCCTGTCACATGAGTGACCTATACTGCCACCATCTCTGTAACAAAGATTTTATACTAAGGTCCATTTATTATTATTTTTGCTTTGCATATTTTAGTTCAGTTATGATAAAACTTGCTCTGATAATTTCAATTTGATCCTTAATCTAAACAAGTTACTCGCAAATTTTAGCTCTCTTCAAAAATAATGTAATATCATAATTAATCAAAAATAATCTGGTAACCTGGGGATAATCATAAACCCCACCAATTCATTTTGACATAAAACTATTTCAGGAGGCTTTCTAGGTAGATCTGCTCCTTTTTGTTTCCATGAAATATATGTAGGCAGATAGATTATATGTTCAGGGAAATATCCACTGAAAAATAAGGAAATTACAAAAAGCACATGCAACCAATTACATTAATCATCCCTGGAGAGACAACATGTAGTTTTTTCTACCAGATCAGGGGCCAATCACTTGAAATATTTAAAAGATCAAAAAAAAAAAGATAAATAAATAAGTAAATAAATAAATAAATAAAAAGGCAATTATGGTTTACTGTTTAAAAATAATCAAACACTTGAGAGTACAATCATGTACAATTTTATGGTTCTATGTCTACTGCAATAAGCATAATTGTTTTCAGAACCTAAAAAAAGTTACAAGCTATTCAAAATCAGATAAGACAACACTAAATCTTCAATGACGTCATTTTCCTGCTATTTTTTGCAACTTAGATGCATTTTGCACATTTTCATGAGAATATAGAACAGGTTATCTGACTCATTTCAGACGGCATACAAAAGATCTTTTTTAAATGGATTAACCACTTGTAATAAATTTTCCACAAGTAAATAAACTATTACTTATCAGTACTGGAAATTAGTAACAAAAAAATGTTGTAGCTTGAAAACGAATGTTTCCAAGAAGTTTTAAGATATCACCCAGCCATTTATACTTTCATCTTAAATGAGTAATAAAATCTTAGGGAAATTTTCAAAGACCAACCTGTTACCCTATGCAATTATTTAATTGCAATACAATCTTTAAAATGTACCATTTTATGTGATATATTACGATATATCATCTCAAGGTATACATACATAGTACACATACCATGTTTTATTATTATTATCATGATCTGTTTTCTATTATTGTGACTGCCAAATTCAATGAGTTAATGTATAAAATCTTAAAATCTAAAGATGTTTAGGATGAAAAAGTATTGTACTTTTAGAATACATGGGATTAATAATTATACATTTAAATCAATTTTTTATTGTGTGTTTATTCAAATCAAATCAAATCAAAATTTATTTATTGTCGATATGTTACACAACTGTCAAAAATCATTGAAAAATGACATTCAACATTATCGGCCCAGATTTTGTTTTGGTTTCAGGAACAACTTGAAGAATACAGTGTTTTAAGTATGCTTTAAAAACTGGTATTTTAATTTTGAAAAAAAATTCTTCCAAAATACGTATATGAAAGAAGTTGTTTGTATATTTCCTAAAAGATGAATGGTGTATGCACACAAAAAGAAATTTCATTGCTTAACGGTTCAAACCCTTCTTAAAACATCATCATGAGCATAAAATTCAATTTAAATACAATATTCATGAGATATTCCATGTAACTACTCTTTGAAGGTCCTGCCTTATCGAAGTTACCTTTCAAAATTTGATCTTTAATTGATTGATGTTTTTGAGCTTATAAACTAATACTGATAAAAAATTTGAAAATGAACATTTTTGTGGAATTCTCTGATTAACTTCTCATTGATTTGAACATAGATTCAAAGACAGCAATTATCTATTGTTAACAAATATCAAGAGCTAATTATTTTAACTTAACAGTCATGAGTTGAATAATGGTGATCAAATAAATGAAATTTTAAAGAATGTAGTGTCAATATTTTTATATTTTAAAGGCATTTATTTGAAAGAAAGACCTTATAAGGCTACATTAATAATGATATTCTACCACACAGTGACGATGTAGAATAAATGTAACTTTAGTGATTATAGGGCTGAATGGTACAGATACACAGTGCTTCAACAATATATTTTAATATATTATGATTATTATGCTTCATCATTTGTTGAATTTCAGTTTCTCATCTGTCCTTTTTTTCAAATAATGTATCAAAAATAGGCACCCAATGCAATGATTGTCTATAATAGCACCTTTCAATTATAACAACATATTACTTCGTTTAAGTATATGCAATATCAAAAATAGGTACGAGAGTACTCAGAGTACCAATAAGATTATTAAAGACTTTTAAGCTCTTTTATCAGATTTTACAGTATTGTCCAATGATGGTAATATGTTAGTAATTGAATACCTACACCATAAAGATTTGTTTGTATTTTCTAAAAGTTCTGATCATGTTCATTAATCTATTTTTAGAAATATCTATAAATATCACAATTATCTATTGAGTTTCAACTTATCACCCTGTTGACACCCACATATTTATTTCTTGTGAAAATTCTCACCTAAATACTGATAGAGGGAAGATGTATTGTAGGAAGAATTGGAAATGCCTATCATCTGCAGGCTGAATTGAAATATATCTTGCAAGAAAGAAAATGCCAGTGGAATGATGAACAACATAATATTTAGACTGCAGATTTTACCTGTTCGTCTTGACCAACAGCATTGTCCGTGCAAAAACGGCAGCACCATCCTTTATCTTGCATATAAGCAAGGAAGACAAACAACGGCATATAGCCGAGAGTTATCCATGCTTCAACCGGAGTGATCACACCTGGTGTCCAGTACCGAACTACAATCAACATCCAGATATATGCCAACATTGACCAGATTGCTGTCAACAGGAATACCCCAAACTCCCTTATTTGCTTTGTACTATGATTTGGAACAGAGCTAATACACACAGCTGTTATTATAAGCAAATTAAATGCTGCACTTCCAATAATAGTAAAAGTACCCAAGGAATCTTTATGGCTAGTATCCTCCCCTAGTGTTCCAGCAGTCTCAATTGTAGCAAGAAGAATTTCAGGGGCACTACTGCCAAGTGCCATCAGTGTCAAATTTGCCACTGTTTCATTCCATATTCTAACATGAAATTTGACCATTTCACCCCTCTCTTGGTCCCATTTTGCAACTTCTCTTTGTTTACTTGTTAAGGATTCTATTGAACTCATAAATATATCAGATGCAATAGCTATTCCAACAAAAAAGTAGAACATACAAACAAGATATGCAGTCCCTCTAATTCCTTCGTGCCATAAATTCTCTGCAGGCAGAAGGAGCCAACTGGCACATACCTCTTCATTTGGGGAATCTATAAATTCCACAACATAGCCCCGAGAAAAGTTAGTAAAGTGTTTGTATGTCATTCTTGCAATAAACTTTGTTTACCCTAATAATCCAAAATTAACTTGCTCCTGTTTCATTCTACCTTAACACAAACCTTCAACAATGATTAATTTAATCTAAGTGATACATTATTCCCTATTATGTATCACGATATTCTCAAAATAACTCAATAGTAATCTTTAAAATATTTATACCAGCCATAATTTTAAACGATTTTTTTGTTAATTGTTAAAATTGCTGTCAAGATTTATTAGACCTCCTGCTCTTGTAGTAAGTTTCCCAACAACATAGTGTAGATGTAACCTGCAGATAAAAACTATTGTTATATCCACCACAGCACTGCTACAGGTAAGTCTTCCTTCACATTTTTCATCATTTTCAGAGAAGCTTGCATTTTGAAGTGTCTGTAGTTTGGAACTAAGTCGGAAATGAGGTTCTATTTATATATATCTATACGGAACACTTTACATACATATCATTATAAAGATAATTACATATCTCTATGATTTAAATCTCCGTAAATCCACATAACCCATTTGGCAAGAGGCTCATCCATACACTGAGCCTTTTATGAGCTAGGTCTCTATGACAAGACAATTATGACATCTATTTAAAGGAGAACCATTATCACCTTACAAGACACAGCCTTCTAGATTCTAAATGGAGTAACTTAATAAACTTGCCTACCATCTTGATATAAGGTACCACTGTGTATTAGTAATGACTATTCCAATAATCATAAGAGAGTAAAGTCTAGAATCTAGAATCTTAACTCCTTATAATTCAATGAAAATATCCAAGATGCAAACAATAAGAATCTTTATGTATTCAAATCAAAGCATATATTCTTTAAGACAGTTCTCCTTTAAGTAAATAAATGTTTAAAAACATTTGAAACCATTGAGAACAAGGTCCTACTAACTGTTGAACAATGACTTAATTAGTTAATGCAGTGTTGAAACGGCTAACTGAACGAATTAAAAGCAATTAAACCTCCCGAAGAACAAAAGCTTCCGAAATCCAATCAAGTAAATCAATAGCTGGCTACTCAAGATCTCAGGAGAGATCTATAAAAACTTAATATACCCTGCAGTTTTATATACCAACAATTAGCCTGTTCATCAGATATTAAAGATTACCGTTATTATAATAGGCTACCTGGCTTCAAACAGGTACTAGTCTTAATTGTACTGTACTTTCATTATTCACAAAGACGGGCATCTGGCTAGTCACTGGTTAAGAGAGTTAGCCTGAATAATAAAGGATAAGGAAAACTTTTATCAAGCTCCACCAAACTTAATAAATAAGAAGGAACAAGTTAAAATGATTGCAGAAAGAAAGTAATTTATAGTACTGCCTACATGCAGATGCACACTGGCTCACTCCAGGGTCAGCCTTAAAATTATCTTTGTTCCATTGCTAATTTGGGAAGGTTAAGATGGTAGGTGATTTTTTTTTTTTTTAATATCCAAGATATTTTTTATTGAACATAATTATTATTTATATTCTGAATTACATGTATTTCAGACAAAAAAGAAGTTTAGCTCTGTTTGAAGTTGAGAACCAAAGTTTCTAATTTTTTTTCTCCTCAAAATTTATCAGTTTTACAATACAGAAATAAAGATTTGAATCTTATTTATTTACTTTGCTTCTATGTTAAGTGAAAGAAACAAAAACAATAATATTTTTTTGTTGGGTTTTATGTTGCAACAACAGGTATAGGTCATATGGAGACTTTCCAGTTTTACTGGTGGAGGAAGATCTCAGGTGCCCTTTTGTGCATTATTTCAGGCACAAACTTGCACCTACATTATGTAAGCTTGCTGGATAGCTTCCTCAGTCACTGTGAAAGAATCCAAAGTCCCTGTTGAGATTCAAACCTAGTGGTGTGGGGCTAGTGGTTTGAAGTCAACAACATTAACCACTTGGCAAACTCCTGCTTGTTTGGCAATAAATTTTTTTGGGAGGCAATGATTTTTGTGAAATCAAATTCCAACAGCTGAAAACGTTTTATAAAATTTTCAATATGAATGCATGGTATATAGCAGAGGACAGCTTTCTGTCTTTGAGTCAATTAAATATATCAACTAGGTGATATAAATCAGCTACTGTCAAGTCATACTATGGTGCTTGTGAAGAAGTGCACAATGCATTTAAGGGGAAAAATATAGCATTTTTAGGGGAAAATATACCTATTTTGGGTTAGTGGAAACAGATTATAAATCAATATAAAATACAGGGAAAAAATCACTGAGGATTAAGAATATTTAAGGCTTTACTTGGTTTCCCACCTAATCTGAGGGTACACACAAACCTTTACTGATAAAACCTTTGAAAGTAAGTGCATCAGGCTGACAATTTTATTCAACAAGAGCTGTCCGTAAGACAGCGCGCTCGACTTTTTTATTGCTTGCCAATAAAAAAAGTTTTTGCAGTAAAAGGCAATACAAGAATCTCTGTATTTTTAAAGTGAACAATGGCCATGAGCATTAAGATATTTAGTGAAGAATTATTTTACTGAATTGAATATTACAGCAATGTTTATATGACATAATTTATGGTAAAGTGAACAAGTGGATAGGAATGAATTTTTTTAGATTTTTTAAGTTTTTTAGTGCTTGCCTATAATACAAAACATTGACAGTTAAGGGCCATAATTCAAATAAAATCTTTGACAGAATTACCTTCTCCTGGACATGTTTGGGAATCATGATTGTAAACAAGTATTCCAACTTTCAAATTAATATCTCAAACAGTTCAGTCAAAAAGTGGACTGGTACTAAAAACTTAACCAAGATTCTAAGTCGATAAAAGGCCTTAATTTTTAAAACAAATCCTTGACAGAGTTACCTTCTCTTGCGTACAGATGGGGGTAATGATGTGAAATAGCATTAAAAGTTTCAAAGCAATATCTCAAAGGGTTAAGGCAATAAGTGGATTTTACCCATATTCAATGTATTTTCTAAGTCAAAAAGGGGCATAATTCTGTCAAAAACCTTGACAGAGTTATGTCCTCTTGTCTGTTGATGAAGGTCGTGATGGTAAACAAGTATGGTCAGTTTCAAAGCAATACCTCCAATGGTTTTGAAATAAAGTGAGGTGGTACAAAAAACTTAACCAAGCTCAATACACTTTCTAAGTCAAAAAAGGGCCATAATTCTGTCAAAAACCTTGACAGAGTTATGTACTCTTGTCTGTAGATGGAGGTTATGATGGTGAACAAGTATGGTAAGTTTCAAAGCCATACTTGTAATACTTCTGAAATAAAGTGGGGTGGTAAGAAAAACTTAACCAAGGTGTGACGCCAACGCCGGGGCGAGTAGGATAGCTCCCCTTTTCATAGAAAAGTCGAGCTAAAAAGTAGAACACTGAAAAGGTTGTTTTCTTGGAAAAACCCACTTTTGCACAGTTCCTGATAACAAATATTAATAAACTTACATTTAGAAAAAGAAATAAGCTTTGATTTTTGAATTATTTGTAAATGTAATTCAACCTGATTAAAATCAGCTCTTAAATGACACTATGGCCTATTCACTGACAGTCACTTATAGGTCACTTTCTAGTGACATTTCAATAACCCAATGAAGAGCTAGCTTTCACATATTTATCCAGTTGTGTGTGTGATTTCAATGAAAATTTTCAAGATATTACAGATATTACATTGAAACAACTCCAATAAACCAATAAAATAAAATACTCTAATTAAGTTTATATGAATTTATTTTAGCTTGATTGTGTTGGAAGCTATAAGCTTATTGAAATACTCTCAAATACTCTAATTTGACACAGATAGTGAATTCAAATGTTATATCTATTGCTTTTTTGTATGGTGCCTTTTCAACTGCAAAAGCAGATGATATTGTCCAATGCCCCTGTTTGGGACAATTTATTCAGTTGACTAAAACTATATCTATATTAAAATCTATTAAAGGTGAATATAAGAGTAAGTTACACTAAGATCTGCAGACCTGAACTTTTGTCGAATTGAGTATAATTGATATTCAGTCAATCTGAACATTCTATTGTACTGAAATATTGGGCTTGTTTTATAACCATTCATTGTTTTAACTCATATTATATTCAATTCATATCAGTCATTCTCCTACATACATCTTTCATTATCATTAACTTGTCTTTAAAAACAATTTAACCAAAGATGTTATATATTTTTCTGTATATGAAATGAAGGTTCCCCTTTAATATGCTCTCATGTAAATCAATTAATTATCAGAAAATGGTAAACTTTTGCAGACTCAAGACTCCTCAGTTACATTTCCTTATCTTCATGACTGGGAAAACTGCACATTAATTAAAACTGCAAATATCATTATCATGCAATATTTCATAATCTGCAGTCATTAAATAAACATTGTAAATGATAATGAAAAATTACTTGAGAGCAGTTTTCATTAAACCTATGACAGGAGACAACTGATTGATTTTACATTAAGATAAACCATATTGTATTGATTAGGCAGTAAATGGAAAGGCATTGAACGAGGGTATCATTTGTTTTCTTCTCTCATAATGAAGTTTATTGTCTTATTATGTTTTTAAGGGAAAGAAAATCAGTACAATTAAAGACATAGAGTACAAACACAAAGGTTTTTCAATATCAGTAAACTGTTTTAAGTTTTAATACAGTTAGGGATGTATTGATCCATTTAAAATGAAAGTAAATTTTAGTTTATTTTCTTTTTTTTTATGGAATTTACCATTTCCAATTGCTCAACAATCCTGTTCTTCTTCAAAATGGTGTCAACATTAACACTTTCAAAATTAACAATATGGCTGCTGTTGTGAAGAAAACTGTTCCAAGTCACCTAATTATGACTCACAAAACTTTGACAGACTCAGACAAAATCCAAAAAGAGTTTTTAACACTGTATATAATTACATCAGTTAAAAGTCAATAAAGAATTGGCATATTTTATCCTTTTCTATAATACAGTTATCAGAAATAGTGAGACAAATTTACATGGATATTGATGAGTGAATTATCTTCGAGACAATTACATTATTTTCAAAGATTTTTAAATAAATATTCATTTATATGATGAAACTCATAAAGCAACAGTAGATTGTTTGATCGAAAGACTTTTCTTCAAATTTTGTATAACTATATCAAATTAAACTGAAACATAACAACTATCAAACAAATAATTTCTTCAATTCATTTCTATGTACCGAAGCAGTTCTAAAAATCTTATTCTTGTACATTTTTGTAACCATGCACAGATGTGAAATTCTTACAAAAATATTTGGCTGTTGTACACCTATAGAGTAATAAAAGTCTAGTTGGTAATATTGCAAAATACAATATTACAAAAATATAATTTGTATGTCAGCTATAAGAAACACCCTGCTTGTGAATGTCTTCACACAAAATTAAATGAAGGAATGACTTCACATAAGAATAGGAAATTCCCCGAGTATCTTTACAATGGTTACATGTCTTCTATCACAGAAAGTGATAGCATCTTATCATTATCTTGTTATACATTTATAAAACTTCATCATCCATGAAAATGATACCATACTAATTTTATACTTAAGCCTATAT